ACCCTGGAACACTGTGACCATTATAAATATGAATCAGTTGCCAAGCATCCAAATATAAATCACATGACCCTGGGCATGCTGCAATGGTCATAAGTGTGAAAAATGGTCATAAGTCATTTCAGTGCAATTGCAACTTTGAACAGGTTTTTTTTTTTTTGGTCATCAAGTTTTTGACACCTTGCTAGGTGGTACTCAAATATTGCCGTATCCTAAAAGTGGTACAATCGGTAAAAAGGTTGAAAAGCCCTGCTTTACACCATATTTCTGTAATTCCTGGGCCACTATGTGGCAGCACCTAGCCAAAGTTAGCTGACTTGGAAAAACTAGGAGAAGGGGCTCTGTTTAGTCCTGGGAAGTCATCAGTACTCGCACCCAATTTGGAGGCTTTACCTTAAAATACTTGGAGGGAGGGAAGGTGATAAATTCAGTCAACAAAGGAGGTTTCACTGAGAATTTTTACCCCACAGAGCAGGCCCTATATTGGCCTCCTTCCTTCACAGGTGATAGGAACACCTGAATAAGAACATCCCTAAATTACTTGGTTCCTTAATAAGTTCCAGTCCTCCTTTTTTCAGCCACTTCATGGTTTAGAAGATGGGCTGCAATCAAATAAAAGCAGGATCCTCTATTGTTTAAGGGTTAGTTTCTCTACATGGTGAGGAAGAACCTAACCCTGGGTACCACTTCTGACTTGGCTAGATGTGAGACTGGGTGGAGGCAGTCCCATCTAAAACAGGCCTTTAAGAGCTCAGTGGTGGCTCATGGGAATAACTGGTGTTAATAAGTATGTGCATCCACCAAAATATTTGCTTAAGAAAATATTCTCATTAAATTTCCTTGTTAGCATGGAATGGAATGAATTTTTCCATTCCTCATTAGCAGATTAGAGAGGGGACAGAAAAGAGCTGTATAAAAACCAGGAGAAGTACTTGTAGGTGCAAAATGTAGAACAGCACTGCACGCTGCCACATTTTAGCACTAGCTAAATGTAGAACTAGCACTTACACTTATATACTGCTCCATAGTGCTTTACAGCACTCTCTGAGCAGATTACAATGTCAGCATATTGCTCCCAACAATCTGGGTCCTCATTTTACTGACCTTGGAAGGATGGAAGGCTGAATCAACCTTGAGCCAGTCAGGATCAAACTCCTGGCTGTATTCAGAGTTAGCCTGCAATACTGCATCCTAATCACTGAGCCACCACATTTTAACCAACCTAAAGACTTGGTGGCTGCATTTGTGTAACCTGCTAAGCATGGTCAGTTTTATTTTTAGTTAATTCTCTTGGGGCTTATTGGTGCTATGGAAACCCAGTTTATTCATATGTAATGTCAAATTCAGAAAATGGGTTAAATCAGTGACCAGGTCAAGATTGCAAAAGCATCCACTGGGCTGCAAGTGAGTATGATTTACTGATCCCAATTTTTTTTCCCCTTTCAGATACATTGGTGGTGGGCATCTTTAAATATATGTAGTTAACAGCCAGATACCACATATTGTGCCTCTTCTTTCAAAAGTATAGAGTTTTGTAGGATTTAAGATTTCTGGCAAAAGTAACAAAAATGGGAGATGATCTACCTGAATGGGTCCTACTGACACGAGCAGGTTTTTCAGCTGAATATCTGTGGTGGATGAAGAAAGCCCTTCCACTGACACGATGCAGGGCTGAGGTTTGCACTCTACCACACGCAGATTTGGTTTACTTGGCATCAAGCGGCCTCGGCCCATCTGGCCTGTGATCCCCCTGCCTCTCCCATGTGGAATACCCTGGTGAGAAAAAAAGTATTTGATTTCATGCTTCTGCTTACAGAATCTTACAGATTAACACAAACATTATATATTCTCTTAGAAGGGTTGGAGGGCAAATTGCTAAAGTTCCACTAGTAAACACAGCTATTGGCCTGGCAGTCACATTTCTCTTAGATTCACTCTCATTAATATTATGAACTAGATAGCCGATGACCCACTGAGTCATCATTTCAGAAATATTTCCTTAGTTAAACAGAGAAACAGAATGACCACATGCAGGCAAAAAAGCAGTGGGAGCCGGAACAACTTCTGACTGCCTGCTGACTTCCCCATTGAGTTTCCTTGTAGGAAGCTGGCAGGAAACATTGGAAATGATGATCATGTGACCGTGGCTAACTGTGGCAGCACGCAAATGGCCATAACTTCGCCTAATTTCAATCCCACTGGAGTCATGGGTCCCAGTTTTTGGATGCTTTATGTAAGTTAGCCCTTTTGAGGTATGTTGATTCAAAAATTGTTGCCCTATGATGAACTGTTTCATCCAATTGAAGTTTACAAACAAGCAGACAAGAGAATTTTAATAGTACAGATAGGAAACAGCACAGCAGCATAGCATTTCTGACTTACATACTGCCCCATAGCACTTTACAGCACACTCTGCGTGGTTTACAATGTCAGTATTATTTGCATATTGCCCCCAACAATCTGGGTCCTCATTTTACCAACCTCGGAAGGATGGAAGGCTGAGTCAACCTTGAGCCAGTCAGGATCAAACTCCAGGCTGTGGGTAGAGTTTACATGCAATACTGCACTTAACCACGGTGCCACCAGGGCTCCAATGATTTCCAAAATCATAGGAAAACTGCAATGTAACAAAAAGTTCCATCCTTAGGAGAAAACACTCCTAAAACACCAAGGCTTGCTACAGCAACAACTCTTTCCTTCATGAACTCTTTTATTTCCAATAGTGTCCTCAACTCAAGTTAACCTTTCCCACTTTACAGCTGTTCCATAAGACAAGTCCCAACAACTCTGACATATGTTATGGCAATAAAGAACTACAGATTGCAAAATGTAGGCCCCCAAGCTTTTTTATAATACCACATGAAAATGCACAGTTCCAAAGATCTTACAAAAGGGGTTTAGATCAACAGTCCCCAATACAGTTACCTCCAGTTAGAATACAATTCCCATGAATTTTGTTTGAGGCTTCTCAAGATGTTAAAAATTGGAACCTAACTTACCTGGGAAGTATAAGATATGGAAATGCTGAGAACCACCTTAGACAGAGGAATGTTTCAATCATCCAAAGCCTTATCTGAAGTCAAAACTACTCACAAATCTATACCACTGAGATAACTTCTTTTTCTGCTACCTTACCAGCTAATGCAGGTAACAAATTCAGTGTCTCAATAACCCTGAAAATTTATTTCTTCAAGCAACTAATGAAGATATCAGTACAAACCAGAATCAATACCTTTTTCACTTGATGTATCCCTGGGATATTTTTTAGTCCTTGAGGAAATGTAGAGTGAATCTGTGATAGATGGTGCTGATGAGGCTGATGCAGTTGCTGCACTGTCCCCTTTGTCAGTGTGACCTTCCGGATTGGCTGATGTCTCTGCTCTGATGGCTGCGGAAGCCGGTGAGGCGGTCCTTCCAAATGAGAAAAGTCAACATTCTCACCACCCTGTTGGAAAGTCGAAAACATTCTGTTCAAGATTTTTTAAAAAAAAAAACTACATATTTTTGGCAACAGCTACTATACAACAGAACCTGGATAACAGATTCACAAGCATTAAGACCATGCTTTAATAAATAATAAGGGCGTGTCATTTAATGGGGTGAAAATTATTTTTTGCAATTTTTTTCAGTGAGGGGTTCTAAAAATATGTGCTTTTACACCAAGAATTCAAATCTGCTGTTATTTTTGCAATTGCACAACGTTTAGCTTGGTAAATCCACATCTGATCATATACCCCACAAAAGTCTCTTGTAACCCAAATACTGTTAACGTTATCTTCTCAAAATTACACCTTGTGCTACAAAAATTAAAGTTTTTTTCTGCATGAATTTTATCTAGCTAAGCAAAAAATAATCCATGCAATTATAAACTAACATCAGAAAGCAATTATCTGAGTTACAAAAATGTTTAAGTGAGTTTCATCAAGTCTTGTTTTGATTCGTTCTTTGACATCAGCTGCTGACTTGCTTCTCAGCCTCTGATATAACCCTCACGTTTCTAATGTGTATACACTCTGCTTGCTGCCTCTGTGACCTGTTTCACACATCTCTCTATTGATTGAGCATGACAGGGCCACTGTGGTACTTGCATTGGTTCATCAATGAACTTCTTTATTTCTGCTGTAGTCAGTTTGCATGTCAAAGGTGGCTCATATACACCTTCAGACCAGTCAATCAGCTCCAGCAGAGTGGATGCTCTTGTGTTGATTAAAGGCGTTTTTCTTGCACATACAGAAAAATCTTCCAGCGCATCATCGTCTGCACCCCTCAAGTCAATGTTCTTTTGCACACCAGCTCTCCTCTCTTGAATGTCATCTGAACACAAGAGTGTCTGGATTATCATTTCACTGAAAGCGTACCATGCTGAGCCCTGAATGGTTGGCAAAACAGCATCTACTACAGCCTTCTTTTGCAGTCTTGCCGTGCTGCAGCTGGAACAACACATGACATGAGCCTTCAATCCAGGAATGTTTTACTTTGATGTTGAACCAGCAAGGGTAGAACACACCAACAATGTATTCCACTATCATTCTTAAATTTTGGACAGTTTTGCCTTTAAAGCCATGTTTTGAAACCCATATTTGACAAAGCCTATTTGCAGTTGTCAACCAGCGTGAATGGCTTATGGGGCCAATTTCCAGAAGAGCCATATCTGTGGGAAGTTCTCCTGTCTTTATTGCCTGTGTGATCCTATATCCATACGCTTGATCAGGAGAGAGATCCTTTACAACACTGTCGCTCAGTGAAATGAGAGGCTCACCAATTGAAACTCTGATGAAGGATCAATGTCAAGTTCTGTTACAGTGTCTGGCATGTTGCCAATTTTACCTGCCCATTTGTTGTTAGACAAGGTCTTCCCATCCAATTTTGTGATTAAGTGTTGTAGGGTTAACTCATCCGTGTGGAGTGCACATACCAACCAGATCAACCTCTGGTCAAGCTTGACCTCTACCCAGTGCATGGCACCACCTTCACAGCCAGTATTAACATTTGTAGAATCTCTTCCAATGGCCTTCAAGCTTTTGTCAATGCTTTTCTTCTTAATGAAATACACCAGATTATTATTATTATTATTATTATTATTACTTTAATTTATACCCCGCCCTTCTCCCGAAGGACTCAGGGCGGCTTACAGGCAAATAAAAAACGAAACTATACAATAAATATCTAAAAACAATTAAAATATATATTAAATTAGCCTGTTATTTTTAGAAAAGTTATAAAATCCCTATTAAAATCCCTATACAATCCCCCCC